GAATGCCAGAGTTTTTGTATCTTCCTGTTTCTGAAGTTGTGTGCCACAGAGGCTTTGAGCGGTGTTGGCCTCATAAAGACTCTTTCTTGATGGTCTGATCTTATCCTGCCTCATTCACCAGTCCAACAAATGCCCATTATAGAAGCACTTGTGAAGGGACTGGAGAAGGGGACACTAACATTATACCCAGTTTTCTTCCTGGTTTCAAAGAGCCAAATAATTTAGTTGGACAGATAAAGCAATTAGATATACAAGGCAACCAGTACTGCTAGAAAGAGTATTCTAAAAGTCTGTATTTTGAAGATACAGACAAAAATGCTACCAAGGGTTCCTGGCCCTGAGGGGTCTTACACTTTCTCCCAGTGGTAAGGGCCCCCAGTCTTCTCATCAATCCCCCCAAAAACACCTGTGGCAAAGGCTGAATGACTGGCTAAGCTACATCCCAATCACACATATCTATTCCTATTTTCAGATGGTCCCTAGTTTCAGATGGAGCCATGGGGCTGGCGAGTATGGGAAGGATTCTCTGGGCATAAGAGGCCAACACTAACCAGCTGGCAGATCTCATGTCAGAAGGGATGTGGGCACAAAAAGTCCCCTCCAGTGAGGACGGCTGGGCCAAGCACAGTCTCCATCACATGGAGTGTCTGCAGATGCTCCAGAGACCACAGGAGGGGCCAAACCATAGACTCGTGCTGTCAGCATTCAGGCCAGACCTCCTGTCTTGCCTCTTGGAATTGAAGAAGGGTTAAGCAATTTCAAAACGTTCAGTACATGCAGATGCAAGAAATGCCAAGTCTATGTGCTTCAACTCGATGAGGTAGAGCCTGGGATGGGTGGCAGAGAGCCTTGGGTCATGGCAGAGGATTCAGGGCCAGCATGAAACTGCAGCCCCTTGAGGTCAGAATTTCTCCAGATCACACAAGTTGGGGGCCAGGTCTAAACTTCAGGTCTCCCAAGTCATCTCAGGGCATCCTCCACTTCCACCTTGTGCTTCAGGATCCATGTTTTTTCTCTCATAATGGTTAAAGTAGGGGCCTCATGAAGTGTTATTTGATACTCAGCATTTGGTTGATTTATGGGTGAATGAATGAATGACTGAATGCCAAGCTCATAACATTTTGCTGGTTTTCTCTGATAAGTGCCAGGAGTATAAAATGAACTGTAACATTTTAATTTTTAAGCTCAGAAGTGTGTGCTGCTCAGAGATACATCTACACTACATTTCATTTTCAAAATAGAGCTTGTTTTAGTTAACTTGTTTTAAAGATGTAACTCTGTAGTATACCCCTTTCTTTCTTTCTTTTTTTTTTTAGTACACCCCTTTCAAAGGACTCCTCAGAATAATTTTATTATCTTTCCCCTGAGGAAGCTAAGTAGGCTTTTTGAAATTCTATGTCTTCCTACTTGTCAAACTCCTGCTGTGGACAAAATACTGAAAATACTGGAAATACTGGTTTAGATACAGAGATGACTCAGCCACTCCTGGCCTTCAGGTGCTTCCAGTCTGCAGGGATTTTCTGTGACATCACAGGCTTGGCACTGACACCCCACAAGTTTTAAGAAAAGTCTATTCCTGGTGGTATTTTTCAGCCCCTGAGGATGCAGAGATTATAAAATGCTTTTGACTATATTCACAGCTGAGGATGTTTTGGAATTCATATTTTAATTACTCTTCTTAAAGCTATCATTTTCTTCGAGAACCAAGAGTCCTAGAATCTCAGAAATTCCAGATGACTTGCATGATGGCACAACTTTACATCAATTTTTTTTTATAAGGGCTGCATTAGGACACTAAACCATAGCTCAGCTTTCCAGGGACATTGGTCTTTGTGCTTCCCAGGACAACAGTGAAACTGAGCTGTTCTACTCTCTGTGTTCACTAGAAATAAAGACACCATTTGAAGAAAAGCAAGCATGGTGATCACTGCAGCTCTGTGCATGGTGCAGGACATCCCAGAAAAATTTGTCCATGATTCAGAGTTCCTAAGGGAAAATAAAGAATTGGTTCTGAATTAAAGACAAGTTAGAATCAACAGTGTTTGTGGGAAATCAGCTTAGTAAACATGCAAGAGGTCTCAGGAGTTGGCGATGGAACAAATCACAGGTGTTCCAAGTGCCCCTAGTGATTTGCAGTGTGGAAATTAGCTCCGTTGAGTTTCTTTTCAATTAATTGGACAAAAGTTATGAGGTCTGACAATTAAGTTTGCAAACTCATCCTAGAAAAAGTGCTGCATACCTCCTTGCTGAGTATCACTATGGTCACCAGATGGCCAAGGGGGGTACCTCGAAGGTGACTGTAGAAAGTGAACCATATCCCTAAGAAAAAATCTAGGCCTTCTCTGTGAGCCATAGTCAATGAGGACACTTCTAGAAGTAGTAACTCTAGTGGGATGCTATATTGAGGGTCCAACATTTACATCTATGACACTCCATGTGGAAACTAAACCAGCAAAACAGATTTTAAACTGCTGACATCATGATGGCTATATTTACACCACACCAGTAAAATTAGTTGGTAAAAGGCAAAAGATTTACACAATCTGAAGAGAAACCAGAGGATAGTAAAATTACTTGCAAAAACAAAATTTGAAACAACTTAACTGACAAGATGACACCAAATGACAAATGACAACTGGCCTGTTGGTTTTATTCTTTAAAAAAAAAACTAAGTAAATAAATATATTACCTGATTATTCTGCTAATATGTGATGAATGACTTTAACATTTTTTAATTACTGTCAACCAAATTACTTATACAAAAATGCAACCTTCCTCACACCCTCTTATGTATGTTGTTTGCTCGTTTCAAATATTCCCTGATGGACTAAAAGACACCAGAAAAACTAAACAATAGCCTTATATGTGTTCTTGGTGACAAGGCTTTTGTCCTGCTTAAGCAGTCAAGTATGCTGTTTACATAATTTTCTAACTGCCCAATATTCGTGAACAAATCAAATTCTTGGTTCAAAATGGAAACGTTATAAAATCATAGTGTGGTACCAAGCCTAGCAGCCAGGATGAGCAGTGACCAGGAGCAAGCCAGGCGCAGGAAGACATCTCGGTACCAGACTAACTCAAAGTAATGCTGCTGCTCATAAGCACCATTTCACTGATCTCTTTTTGCCCATACAGGGATTCTTTCATCTTCAAGATTTGCAAACAGTGGCACGTTAATCCTCACAACATCCTTGTGAGTTAGGCAGCTGATGCACGTTATGATCCCCTGCATTAATGATGGAAAGAGGATAATGACAGCGATAAAAATGAAAACATCAAACAGTATCAGCACATCACATCAAGACGCACATGAGTTTGTCAGGGGAAAAAAATAAAGAAAAAGTGGAAATTGTCAAATGCCTTCTCATCTATTTTATTAATACACTGTTGCTAAAATCCAACCAGTTTTGAAAGACTAACACATAAAGAGCTGAATTATTGCATTGTTCAAAGAGGCGGAAAACTCTCTTGGGAAGTAAGGCATTTATTTTAAGAGTTTTTTGTTTTGTTTGTTTTTAATGAAAAACTCAAGTAGAGCTGAATCAAGGAATGTTCTCTAAACTCTACCTGGTCTCCTGTCTGCTCTTAATCCCAGTGTGAGGAGGCGGTGACATTTAGATTAGGAGACGGTCCCAAGCAGGGCCTAGGCGGAGCAGGGACCTCCCAGGAAAATCAGAGGGCTCCCGGCGGCTTCCTTCCGGGGCCCTGGAGAATTAAGGACCTGAGTGGAAGCTGTCCTGACTTTGGGTCTTAAAGGCCAGTGTAACATTGAATGACTCCAGCCCTCCCCCACAAGAACATAACATAAATACTGTCAGAGTGATGGCGGTTATTAGATTCGCTGTGGGACAGAAGAGGACTCAGAGAAGAGGCCTAAGCGCACATCCCTAGAGACAGGGAAGTTTCTCTGAGATTTCCCCCATGTTTAAACAAGTCATTTGCCTCCTGGAAGGGGGAGGAGAAAGTGAAAGGGCTCCAGCAGCCTACCCCGTACCCCTCAGAAGCTGGGGCCTGCGACAAAGGAGCCCAGCACCAACCCACGGCAGGGGGCTGTGGGAAAGACGCGCGCTGCACCCACGAGAGAGTCTAGCGCTGCAGCATCCTCATCCCAGGCAGTTTTCCAGAACTTCCTCCCTGCACGCGCCAGCACACTCGCCAGCCTTCGCGGGCACACGGGGGCCCGCCAACTTTGCAGCCCCCCGCCCCTTTTCTAACACCTTTCACAAGTAGTGACCCCAGGCCATGCAGGGAAAAGGAAGGGGTCAGGGGATGCCTGGGGCAAAGTCCAGGAGAGAGAAGGGCGCGCATTCCCTCCTCGCCGGCAGGCGCGGTACTGCGGGTAGAAGCCCCTAGATTGGGAGGAAGCTGGCTCAGAGCGCGCGGAGAAGGGGGCCGCGCCGAGCCGTAGGGAGGAGAGAGGGGCCCGGGAGGGAGGTGGGGAGGACAGAGGACGGAGTAGGCGGGGACTTGGAGGCTGGGACCGGGTGGGGGAAGCGAAGGCAGGGGAGGGGTCAGGCCTAGGGAGTGAGCCGCAGGGGCGGCGCCTCCCGACTGGTGCTTTCAAGTCCGTGAGCCCCAACCCCCAGCGGCGGCGGCCAGGGGGCGGTTGCGCGGCGTCGCCTCCCGGCCGACCCCTCCCCCGGCCCCTCCTCCGTCCCGGCCCGGCCGCCCCGCCGGCGGCGCTCTGGAAATATGAAGAGACGCTGCAGCTGCGGCGGCGGTGGCGGCCACTGCAGCTCGGAGCGGCGAGCGCGGCGGTCAGAGCGGGACGCGGGGCCCGGCGAGAAGAGGCCGGGGCGGGACGCGGCGAGGCCGGGACGCGGACGGGGACCGGGCGCCCACAGCTGCCCGACGGCGCCCAGGGAGCGCGCGCCCGGCAGCCCCGCGCGGCGCCCGACGGGCATGGGGCGCGCCGCGGCCGTCTGAAGCTGGGCCTGGCCCGGCCGCACGCGGGCTGTGGCCGAGCGCTCGCTGGGGCCCGGACGGGGCGGGAGCAGGGAGCGGTCACAGCGCCGCCGAGCTTCCCAGGAGCGATCAGAGTCCGGCGAGCGAAGGGCTCCGAGGAGCACTGGAGATGTCCTGTCCGCGCCTCCTCCTGCTCAGATACCTGTTCCCGGCCCTCCTGCTACATGGTGAGTTCTGGGGGCTGGGGTGCGGCTCGCTGCGAGCCCCGAGCCTTGGGGGACCCGCGGAACCTCCCAAGGAGTCGGATTGATCTCAGCCGGGTCTACACTGTCCCCTCGGCGCGTCCGAGGAGAGCCCAGCGCCCGCCTGCGCAGCCCAGGGAGAGAGAAGACTCTGACCAGCTTCCTGGGCTCAGGGCCCCTTTCCCTCAGCGGTGCCCTTGAGTGTGCTTTCTGGAAGGGTGCGAAGCTCTCCCACGCAAGCACCTTTTAATACCATTGCATTAAACGCAAGGGAGAACTTTTTCACCGACTCTGTTGAATTTTGAAACTCTGTATACAGACTGTCATGAATCGCGTGCTTGGCGACTCCACCTCCAGAGTGTCAGAGTGCAGCAGGGGCCCTCAACGTGGTCCAGGCTTTTACTAGACAGTGAAGAGAAACTGTTAAGGGGAGACGCATCTCGCGGGTGCCTGCCTTCTAGAGTTTGTTGCCTGCACATACACGGGCTCCCAGTTAGGAGGGTGGTGTGGGGTTTTCTCCTGGGTGGACTGTTACGTTCTCTAGGTGGGGCTTCAAGAAACAGGAGATTCCTAGTAGCCAAGATGTCAGGCCATGGCAGAGCACATTATGATGATTCAGGTATCCCGAGCAAACTGTCCCTAATGGCCAGACACCTGACATTCAATAGAGTGACCTCAGGCTGTCCTTCTTCGGCACCACCACAGCCATCCCAAAGCTGCAGCTGACTCTAGCTTTCGAGTGCGTTATAGCCAGGCCTGAAAATCTGACTGTGGACCCCCCAGAGGATCAAGGAAAGGAAGAGATTTTAACCCACAAGCTACAGTGAGGCTGTTTTCTTTGTAGTCTTGCCCAAGATGGGCGCCTCCCATAGCTCCATGAGCCTCCTTGTGAACTTATCTGGTGGGGCCACAACTGCCCAGTTGCCAAGGTGTGCTCTGAGCCCCAGGGATCTCAGAATTTTAAAAGTCAGGATGGAAGACTTGCAGTTTGAGGGCAAAAGAGAGAAGGTATAATTACAGGGTTGGACTCCCAGGCCCATCTGCTTAGAATTACAGAGCAGTTTTAATCTTTGGCTGAAACATGAAACAAATCAGAGCGAATGAACAGATCAAACAGCAGCTGCCACACACACAAGAAAAAAGAGAGAGAGAAAGAGATGAAACAGGGAAAATTGTCCCCTTTTAAGAAATTGTAATATCCGTGAAGAAAAAGGTAAAATGGGCAAATGACTTTGAAAAATTACCTGAATGTTTGCCATAAACACATTTGTGTGTGGGTGAAATCATTACCTTTTAAACTATAGAAACTGTCCACAAAGATAAACCTGACCCAACTCAGAACATCTTCTCCCTTACTTGAGAGGCAGGGGTTGTAATTATGCCTCCTATCTACTAGTCCAAGCTGGGATAATAATAGTTGGCAGGTTAAGAATAGCCCAACTACATTCTCACTGAGGGTCTAGTGTAGCCATAAGTCTCCCAAATTTGAGTCTGGAGTCTGGGGTAACTCCCTGGGATCTGGGTAAGGGGCTACCCAGAGCTCTGGTCCTGGAAGGGAGATGGGGAGCCCAGGAATAACTGGGAAGGTAGTCAGAGCTATAAATGGGAACACAGTAGATAGAGCAGACCATGTGTGTACATGCATGTGCACATGTGTGTATATGAAGAGAATGCAAGATTAAAAAGGATGTTTGTACAGTTTAATTGGATGACATGGATAAAAACATAAACAGTTCACCTAATTTCAAAATAAATCAGCAAATTATTACAACTAAAGTTGCTGAAAAATCTGCTTAGGTAGGGAGTGTTAGACTAGTGCAGAAAATAAACAGAGGGAGTAGTTATTTGAGTTATAAATCCTCAGTGTTTAAGAAAGGTTTGTCATAATTAAGTAGGTAATGTAAAGCATTAAGAAAGAATTGGATATTTTCTTTCTTCCCCACCTTGCCCACAGTGACTTTTCCTTGATTAAAGTAGTTTTAACAGCAAAGAGGAATTAATCAAACTAACCTGAAAGAATGGTTTGGTGAGTCAGTCTTATGTGACAGGGGTTTTCAGGCATTTAAAAAATTCTGTATTAACAGATGGAGCTGAATTATATATTTAAATATAAAGTTACAAATTTGAAGGATATTGCCTGAAATCTTCTTAGAATGTGTTGATTTTTTTTTGTTTTGTTTCCTCCCGCGAAGTAGGCATTTTATTTGCTAACCATGTAATATCATTTGTCAAATTACAGTAGCAATTTAGTAGGTAAAACCACATGTTCTATGGTTATGAACGTTCCCTCAGTAAACTTTAATAAGTTTAGTCTCAGATAGCACTTACAGGTATTTGTTAGACCAGCCAGTCAGGTTAGTAAGATGAAACAGTGCAGCCTGTGTGGGGATGCTGTGGATACCATTGTGTTTGGCATCCAGTCTCTGTGCAGTATTTTGGCTACTTCCATTTCAATTCATCGCAAGTTATAAATCACCCCTAAATCCTATCTGAGTAAATTAGGCTGTGGCAAGACTCAAGGCTGTTGTTTATTTTTGCTATATTTTTTTAAGGCTGTAAATGTAGAGACCTAAGTTCAAAATTTGATGGCATAAAAGTATACATATCAGTTTTACTTCTCTCCCCTTCAAATTCTGAAAACAATTGCATTTCTTAATCCAAATAAAGCCTATTGAATGTCACAAAGGTATGCAGCTGGAAGATGTCCATTATCACTGTTTTCTTTGCTTAGATAAAAGCCACGAGTTTCAGATGTCAAATTCTAAAAATCATTCAGTTCCAAAAACACAGATTAGCATGAGGTATCCAGAATAAGTGGGGCTTTAATGCGCAGCAAAGTGCTAATTCTCTTTGCTAATGGAAGCGTTTGATTTTAAGTTTTAGAACTGGTTTGGGGGGAGACTTTGTATTTCCAAATGCAATTTACTTTTGCAGAATTTATTGACTTTCCTGAGAAGTGAAGTCTCTTTCAGCCCTTCACTTTCATTCAAGCTTATTCTAAGTCAAAACTTTTCAAAACTGTATAGATTATTGAATGAGAGTTTAAGTGACATAATGTAAGAAAACATTTAGGGTAAAATAGAAATCTTTGAAATGCCATTTTGCCAAAGACGGTTTTTGTAACCAAGAAAACATTGTCTTTCCTGCACTTTTTTTCCTACTTAGTCATAGGAAGAAAATGAAATCTTAAAAAGAAACATGACTCATCTATACACAACAGGGGCAAGGGTCGTGGCTTAGACAGATGTTAAATATTCTCTTGTTAAATAAATTGACTTGCCTCAAACATGTGGCTAAGGAGTTTTATAATAGCCATGTTTATTCTTTTTCCCCCTAAATGAGAAAAGAACTAAATATAGGTGGGTGATATGACTATGTAATTACAAACTACTATTTAGGGACAGACTGATGACAACTTGATATAATCAATCAAAGTGAAGCATAAAACATTTCAGACTAGAAATAGAAAATGACATGTTAGTGATTGTATTTTGAAGACATGTCTTCAATAGACTCTTCACTCGGAGTTGAAGCCATCACAGAGAATACATCAGGAAAAAAAAATCTATTATCCTCCAAGTAGGACTTCTTACTGTGTTGATTTTGTGTGTCATTGTTTAGTTCTCTCCACTTTGGGAGTAAAATTCTTACTCTGGAAAGTCGTGTGATGTCTAGGTTAGAGAAAGGATATGGTGTTACCCTAAAATTATTAAGAATATGCTATTCTGTATGTGTTTTCCATCTTCATTCATTCAGCCACGCATTTTTTCAGTTAGTTCATTTATGAGGGCCTACTATGTGCCAAGTGTTAGGGATGGAGCTAAGAGAGAATGGCACACTGAGGTTGATTGCTCTGTTTTCCCTGCGGGGAATCCCACACGGGCGAGCCAGGTGCATGTGCACACAAACACAAACTGGGGCAGCAATCAGCCGTTGACCCCACAGCATTTGCTACCTTTGATTCAGCGTCAGTGTCTAGCCAGGGACCATGGCCTAAGAAGATGACATAGAAAAGTAACTTGTTTTAAACTAAAGTTAAATGGAGCCAGAAATTTGAAATCTTGACTTCATTATATTTCTCATAAATGGAAAATACTTTTAGACATGAAGGTTTAAAGAATGGTAAAAGCCATTCTCTTTGCTTTTGTTTAACTGCAAAAAAAAAGGAAATAAAAACAAGAACTTGGTAAGCACGGGTACCAAAATGGTAGTAAAATCCAATACTGTCTGTGATACATACATGCGTTATTCTGAAAGATGGAAAGTTCTGTTGGCATTTATCTACTTCAAAGTTCACATTTACAGTAATGACTGCTTATTTAATTGGGCAGGGCAATTTCATGGCTAAGTAATTACCTGTATTTAATCTAATCAGTAACATTTTATGTATCGCACCAGTTCTAACTTGAGAACACTTTTCTCACTCTGATTATCAGTGTACAGGGCACATTATATTAAGTACAGAAACATGCAAAATGAATAAGAAAAGAATCATTTAAAATCTTCTACCCAGAGACAACCATTATTAATATTTTGATATTATACTTAGCCTCTTCCAAATTAAAGGATTTTTTCTCATAGAGATCAACCTGATCGAAGGTTAATTTAGCTCAAAGTGTGCTTGAAAATTATTGTTTCCTTCCCAATGATTTTACATTTTATTATGTGAATTTTGAAACTTTTGATTTCCCAGTCAGTATAGTTAGGTGAGAAACTGTGTAATGTTATCTCTCTAGATAATTCAGATTTTTAAAACAATATTGAAAACTCGAAGACTTGGACATGGAATATGCTGTTCTGTTTCACTTTTGCTTCATGTGTCAACATAGTGGTCCATACCTAAGAGGTAAGGGAGCACATAGTGGTCACGCAACCATCTGCTGCACGAGTGCTGCTGACTTTGCCCTCTGCCCTCTCCCACGCTCCTCAGAGGTTCTGTCTGTGGCGTGGCTTGCTGGGAACCCCAGTGGGTGACGGTGGCAGAT